AAGCCAAGGAAGTAACACAGTGTAATTTACATTTAAAAACCTGCCATTTTTCCAATACCTAATGTGCCAGATGCTTCAACTGGCTATTCTTCGCGAGCTTATATAGACCATCTCCCAGTAGATTTAAATAGGTTTCCATGAGATTTGGACTCCAGACACCAGATATAATGGGTTGGTGCTCTGATGACTTACAGATCCCACAGTTTGTAGGCCCAAGTCAGCTTTTGAGAGACAGGCTAGGCTTAGTCTTAGGTAAAACTCTGAGTAGGCATGGCTTATAATAGGCATCACTCCCTGCTTCCCTGCCTCTGGCTCAGAGTAATTAGCTAGTATTCATTTGTTAATTTAGCAGTTCTTTTTAAGAACTGAAGCTCTATCAACTTGCTATCTCCTCTCCATTATCTGCTCCTGTCAGGAGGTGCATTCTCTTAGTATCCTCCAGGCTACCTGTTCTTTAGTTAAGACAAAAACCTGTCATCTAGGCTACAGCATTGCTTATGCTTTGGATTAGAACACTGTGACATCAGCCCGTCTCCTGCTGGGAGAAGTCCTTCAGAGACCATACAAAGGACTTTTTAAGCATCCAGCTTGGCTTGTTTGCAGCAGATCTGCCATGGGAACTCCTGAATTCTAGGAATTGCACCAAGACCTTCTCCATGTTGACTGAGAATCTGTGCTACTAAGTGCATGTCTCCCCATGTTGTTTTGTCTGTGCTAAGAAACTACAACTCTCAACTATCAAAGAATGTATTTCAAATCCCAGTGTTATCCTGTTGTGTTAAGATTTTTTCATTTTTCTGACTAGCTGTCTTGCAGTGATTTAACATTTCTTTATCCCCTAGGGAAAAGTTAACCATTGGATGCCACCAACTGGTTGAGATGGAATATTCCATGCAGCAGTGCAATGCATCTGTCTATATGGAGGCCCAAAACAGGGAATCTCTCTCAACCCTAAGCATGGGTCCGTGACCAGAGACACTTCCAAACCTCAAAAAAGAATTAGGACATGGCCATGCTCACCCTGCTGCACAAATGAAATCTTACCCTGGTATGTTTTATGATCAAACTATCTTCCCTATCGACCTGATGAACTAACACACATCCCTTCCACTTCCCCTAAGGTAATGTAAGTAGAATTTGACTTCAGCTCCTACTTGCTATATAGTTTCTTCTCTTCTTCCCTGGGTTTGTCACTTTTCAGTGCATTTCTAATGGGAAGAGCAGGGGAGACCTCTATCCTGATTTTTCCCTTACATGTGAAGCAGCATGGATTTATGGGATCAGGTGGCAGGGATTCATATTTGCCCCTAGCTAAACCAAGTGTTTAATTGATTTCTTATTTAGTTATAGAGTAAGTTGGAAATCCTTGTTTACTAGAGTATATTATGCTTTTGTTAATACATTATATGAAATCTAATTTCCTATTCTATGATAAATGTTAATTTATTTTTTACAAAACAATAAATTTTATTTTTAGTAAGATTTTGCCTTTTCATTTTACTTCCAAATTGTGTTTCTGAACTGTGTACAAGGTATGATGATAAAAGCAACTCTCTAATAAAAGAGAATCTACCCAGTATTCTCAGGGTAAGTCTGTGCAGGGCCCCCTGAGCTGTATGTTTGCATAGGAAGCTGCACCTCTACCTGGGGCTCCAGTGACATCCGGGATATGAGCCCTGTGGGAGAAGCTTCCAGAGGATCTCTGCTCTCTGCAAAAAACATCCCCCCCACCACCCCGAAGTTTTTTCAGATCTTTATCCCTCAGCTGCTTGTGGTGGTTGTTACTGGGTTTTGGTTCTGCTCTTGCTTCCCTCTCCTCTTCCCTCTTATCTTTTTAATATAGGTGTGATTTTTAGGAAATTTCACTCCTGCACACTTTCACGTATGCATATAGATATTTTACCTTAGTCTATGTATCTTTTTATTTATTTATTTGACAGAGACACAGTGAGAAAGGGAACACAAGCAGGGGGAGTGGGAGAGGGAGAAGCAGGCTTCCCGCTGAGCAGGGAGCCCGATGCGGGGCTCGATCCCAGGACCCTGGGACCATAACCTGAGCTGAAGGCAGACGCTTAATGACTGAGCCACCCAGGTGCCCCAAAATGTCAGGTTTCTTTGTTGCTTTTTTTCTAATTGTAATCTTTTAGGATTTTTAATCTATCTTAATTTTATACTTTTACTATTATACTATACTTTTCTATTATACGATAGTATAATGCAGGACTTGGGGGTTCCCTCCCCCTCCCTCTTTCTTTTCTGGATCCCGCCTCTGGATTGAGATAACTCAGTTGACCTAAGGCTCATAAGCTCCACCTTGCAAAACACACATTTGTTTTGACAGAGATCCTTGGGAGAGGAACTTAAGAGTTCTAAAATCTCCATTCTTCAGTATGTATGCCTATTGTATTTTGGGCAGAAGCCATCATAAGCATGCCAGTAGGGACAGATGAGGAAAGTCACACAGGGAAGGGCTCCCTACATAATGCTCTTGGCCTTGTCTTAGTGAGGAGTCATGAGGGGCATCCATGAGGATTATCCCACCAAAGTTTCTGGCACCATTTTACACTAGCATTTTCCAATTTACTTTTACACAAAAGATCATCCACTTCCTTCCTGAGAGGACTAGGGAGGATCCTTTGGGTGTAGCCACCCCAGCCATTCCAGCATTCTGGGCCAAAGGAACGCTGGCTTAAGAATTGGGGTGTTGTGCCCTACTGGGATTTTGTTAGGCCCTGTAGCAGGCAATTGGGACTGCAGAGATTAGAACCTCACAGATGGTGAATTTCACTTTCCTCTTGTGGTTTTGCCTGTCACCTGAAAGACCACCTTGAAGCTCATTTCATCTTTTGACCATCACCTTGACGGAGAACAGAAATCTTCTCACTCTTGGAGCGTTGACCCAGATTTCTTTAGATGGTGTCTTGATCTCCCTTCACTTGATCACCTTGTTCCTACTTTCTGACAACTCCCCCTAGCCCACCCACCTGCTGGAACACTTTTCAAGCATCCTTTTTCATCCCATGGGTCAGGATTTACTTCTTCTTAAGAGGGAATATCCCTATTGAAGAATCAAATACATCTTCCACTCTCAGTAAGTGATGCCACAGGCAAAGCCCTTTTCTGATTTAGATTGAACTGACAGGCCAGTCAGCCTCCCACCTGATGGTTCTTTGGCTGTTTTACCAATAAAACCCACTCCAGTGAAAATAACCCCATGAACTTGAACAGTTACCAGCTATGAAACTTTAAGGTGAGGTGGCTCAGTGCCCCTAACTACAAACTGATGTCAGCATGCTATTCTTTAGTTCTTATCTTTCCTTAGCTTTTGAAATTCTACTGTAGGCTGATGGTTATGGGCTTAAACTACTTGCAAGGCCAGTGGGAATCAATGGTTCCCTGCTGGGATTTCCACCAAGGTAAAATATGGGTATGTCCTAGTCCCCCTTTTAGAACCTTTTCCTTTAAAGGTTTGATACCTTTTGGGGGCACCTGGGTGGCTCAATTAAGTGACTCTTGGTTTCAGCTCAGGTCGTGATTTCAGGGTCCTGGTATTGAGCCCCATGTTGGGCACGTGCTCAGCACAGAGCCTGCTTGTCCCTCTCCCTCTGCTCCTCTTCCTGTGCTAATAAATAAAATTAAAAAAAAAAAAAGTTTAAAGGTTTGGTACCCTTTTGGTTAAGCCAGAAAGACAGAACTGTTTTTAAGTGTAGTTTTTTGAGTTTTGTCAAAACACAATCGCATCATCACCAGTATGATCAAGGTATGAATTCTATTGCTCTGCAAAACTTCATCCTTTTTGTTCCTAAGTAATATTCCACTCTGTGGATGCACCAATTTACCATTCACCAGGTGGAAGGCTATTTGAGTTGACTTGGTAACTGAATAAAGCTGCTATATTCACATACAGGTTTCAGTGTGACAGGTTTTCATTTCATTTGGATCACTACCTAGGAAAGTGATTATGGTGTTATAGGGTATTTTGTCAGAAACTGCCAGTTTTCCGAAGTGACCTTACAATTTTGATTTCTCCAGCAATTTGAGTTTCGTTGACTTGCATCCCAACCATAATTTAGTAAGTGTGTAATCTTAAATTTTCCTAATGATTTAGGATAGTGAACATCTTTTCATGTGCTTATTGGAATCCATTTTCTTTGGTAAAGGGTCTTGTTCCAATCTTTTGCCCATTTACTTTTTCTTTTTTTTTAGTTGAGTTCTGGGTACCAATTATTATCAGGCATTTTCTTTCAAGCCTGGACCTTTAAAGACGGTACCACCTTTGAGACAAAACACTTGCTTAATGTAGGAGGTACCTACTTCAATTTTAAGAATTCTAAGATCTAGAGATCTTTTGATTTGGGAGTAGCCTTAATGGATAGCTGGCCTTGCTAATTACTGGACTATTTACATTTGGTAGGTACATTTCAACCTTTTAATACAGCAACTCCTATTCCTAACTTGCTGTATATTTCAGTTCATCTTGTGTCATTCCCTCATTTCGCTTTCCTTCATCCAAGTTTGGTACTGTGTGTGCCTTTTTCCCAGGCTAAAATTACTCCCTTTGCTCACTTTGAGCAAATGTATTCAGATGTACACCCTTTATAGGTTCTTAAATTTCCACAAGATATCAACCCTGTATACACTTAGTAACTGAGCTTTTTGCTTCTCACTCTTATTCAACCCTCAGTAAGGCATGGAGCTATTAATAGCAAAGTTTCAACATTCTGTTGGCCTCCGTGCTAATACTTGTTGCTCAGTGCATCATTTTACAACTGAGAACCTTCTGGTTTTTACTATGAAAGAAACTGGTGCTTCGAAGAATTCCTTGTTAACCTACAGATGATTCCACTATTCCTTGATTTTTAAAAAATGAATAAATGTGGCATGTAACACTGTTAAGTTTAAGGTGTATAGCTTACTTACTTTGATGCATTTATATATTGCAACATGACTGCGATGGATTTATAGCATAACATTATTATCTATATTCATCATACCGCACATTAGATCTCAGGTTTATTTATTACTCATTACAAGTCTGTACCCTTAAACACCACCACTCTTATCCAACACCCTGGTTAACCACCATTATATTACATACATTGGTGTTTCCTTGTTTTTCTTTTTTTTTTTTCACCCAGTTAATTCATCCAGTCATTCAATGAAAGACTCTTCAAATCCTTTTTTGGAACCAAGTAGGATACAAATAAAGGACTAACAGAGACAAAACTTTCTGTGATCTCATATTCTTCCAAAGGCAACTTTGAAGTTGCAGAAATATCCTCCAGGGACTCTTTCTTTTACCTACTTCAGTTTTAAGAATTCAAAGATCTGGAGAAATCATAGGGTGCACACCTAGAGTATTAAGGATCCTAGGACTGTATCAAACGCCCAGATCCAGTTTTTTCCCCTAAAATATAAGGAATTCTAAAACATCTTGAATGGGAAAGCATATATGACATACTAGAAGCCAAAAATCAAAACCCTACATTGAATGTCACAATGAAAGAAAATTCATGTGTGAGTATAACCAATTATTATTAATTCAAGCAGGTATTTTATAGTTTTGCTACTGTTTTAGGCATCTGTATGTTTTATGCATTATTACAATTGATCACAAGGGTGGTTATTACCAACGTTATTTCTAAACTACCCCCAAACCCACACTGGTGGTAAAAACATTTTTAATTATCTTGAAGCTATGCCACATTTTCTCCTTCCCTCAAGAAAAACGTGTACCTTTTAGATGGAAATAAATATAAACAACTGGTCAATGAGCACTGTTTTTTTTTCCCCTTTATGGGAGCTTCTTCTTATATTTAAAACATACTTAAAAAACATACTTTTAACCACCAAAACTACCTGTTTGGCATCAATAATACAGAAAAACTCTGACCCAGAGTATTCACACCTATTATTTGCTTAATGCTACTTGGGAATTAGCAGGTTACTTAGAAATTGAGAAGTAATTTCAAATATTTTATTGCTGAATCCCCAACTAAAATTTTATTTCCTTGGGCTAAATAAGACATATACAGATCCATTTAAAAAAAATAGTCATCCTATTAGGCAAATTCAAATCTGCCAACCTAGTTTTAGTCCAGAACCAAATCAACAAATATAGTCAGCAACTACATAGCCACCAGGTGAGCTTTCTTGATGGTTTTTTGTGGAATGAGAGAAAGAAGGTGTCTAGGTACCAGTGGAACAATTTTCTTCCTAATCCAAGTTAGCCACTGGTAGTCATCTTGTCCTAGTTGGCTCATTAGATTCCTGTGTGTTTGTCTTCTCTGAGAAAAAAATCGGTAATTACCATCAGTTCTTATTTCAGACGTGCCAGGTGACTATTTTCCCACAAATACTCATTATTACTGGGGGAAAAAAAAATTGTCCCCAAAGCTTTTAGTCATGAATGAGTACACAAACAACACTTGGATATTAATTCCATGGTGCAAGGATTTCCTGCAAGTACCTTTAATATGTTTGCACTGGCAGCAAGCATTAGGATGTGCTAATTTGGCACCATAAGTTATATGTGTAGCACAACACATTCGATAAAGTCACCCCAACCAGTATTTATCCATATGAAGAGAAAAACTGAACAAAAACATAGTTCTGATAAAGGCTGCATTCATACACCCAATACAGTTTAATTTTTTTTCACAATCGAGGGCGCTATTTAGGACTGTTTTGTTAATGATAAATAAAGACAAGAATTATTTAGAAAATAAAGTACTTCACTGTTCTTTACTGTTATATATTAAGTGTCTTGCTATATAAAATATACCCTCAGGAAGTCAAAATATTTGAAATCAGTGTTTCAAATAAAAATCGTAGCTATGTTACTGTTCAGCAACTCCATTCAAATAAACAATGGTACTGCATTCTCAAAAAAAAAAAAAAAAAAGTAGCTGAGGCAAAAGCTTAGAAGTTTGCATTCTGGGCGTATAAAACACCTCACTCCGCATCCTTTAAGACTGCCACCCTGCTTCAGTAATTTGAATCTGCCATATCTTCAACAGGTAAAGCACTGTGCTGAGAATATAAAAAGTTATAAAAAGGCAATCATAAAAGATTAAATCTTGGTAGGCATGTCAGCTTTCTTTTAATAAAAACAAAAATAGTCATTGTTATCTAGTTAAATAAGTAAGTCTCTTTTGTATAGAGTGTTCCAGTTATTGAAAAAGGGCCCTTAAAAAACCCAACTGCCTAGATCTTAAACCCTACCCCCTCTTGCCCCATAATACATGTTTGAGGGAAGAGTCATTCAATGTGCAAATTGGCAAAAACAAATGTGGAGGAGAGGGGACTTCTTGAAATGACATGCCCGATCAAGTCTTGGTTTATTCTTTTACAATATCAACTTCCAAAAAGTAAAATAACCAAAGTAGTCCTAAAAATACACAAAACAGACCTTCATCTTTGCATTCCTTTCCCAATAAACACAAAAAGTATGTACAGCATGTTTAATATGCAATATGCAAAAGCTTTGTGTTGCTGTTAGCAACATCTATACCCACCCACCCTCCTTATTCACAGGTGTACCTCTACTAAACACAATTACATCACTAAGCCTGTTAGTTTGAGAGGGTCTTAAATTTGTTAAAACTGGAAAATCTTTGTATAGGGGCTCCACTCATTTGACTCAAGGTTATAGACTTCCACCGTATTCAGAAATTCATTGCCATCAAATCCTCCCACCGCATAAATGGTGTTCCCTACAGTTGCGATCCCAGCATTGCTCCTTGGTGAAGTCATGTTTCGCATCATCTTCCATTCATTTCTAGTTGGGTCATACATCTCCACACAACTGATGGCATGAGAACCATCGAAGCCCCCACCTACAAACAATTTTCCTAAAAGAGAAAGGAAAGGAGGTAAAGCTAGAGAGAGTAAGAGAAAAACTACTTAATCTGTTTTTTGCTAAAGTCAGTGGTTCTTAGTAGAAATGCCTGCTCATTCTATCAGAAAATACTCCTTAAATGCCTCACTAAGGTGGCAAGCGCTCTCTAGGAGCTACGGATACAAAGAGAATAAAACTGATAAAAACCCATTCATACCTGGAACTCAGGCAATTTGAAAGGAGAGGGGTAGCATCTAACTGAAGTGTAATTCCCACAATTCTTTGTGGTAGCTACTATTACTGCCATTTCACAGATGAAATGAGGCACAAAGAAGGTGGACAATTCACCTAAAAATGCAGCTAACTAGTGGCAAGCCAGAGTAGTTCTGTGCACTGGAAATTTTGTATTAGTTCTTCAAAAGAAGTTAAAGAAAAGCAGATTTCAGATAACTGAACATTTTCTTGAGCTTTCCAACTATATAAAATTATTTTGGTACAAAAACTTCTTGGAAACAGACCAGGAGTCATCACTTGCTTTCAAATATATATGCAGAACAGTTAGTAAGTTATTTTCAAACAGATAAAAGGTTAGCATTAAAAAAAAAAATTCATGGGGCGCCTGGGTGGCTCAGTTGTTAGGTGTCTGCCTTCAGCTCGGGTCGTGGTCCCAGGGTCCTGGGATCGAGCCCTACATCGGGCTCCTTGCTCTGCGGGAAGCCTGCTTCTCCCTCTCCCACTCCCCCTGCTTGTGTTCCCTCTCTCGCTGTGTCTCTCTCTGTCAAATAAATAAATAAAATCTTAAAAAAAAAAAAAAATTCATTATTTCCTTATCTGTCACAACCTGTCTGCATCTATATATTTAGAGAAGAACGGACAAGGCTTGGGGGTGGGGCTGCAGGCTACAGGCCAGTAGGCTACTTGCTGGCATGTCTACACATCTGTGCTTTCAGCAGTTGAGCCACAGCTTAACTGAGATTCTGCTTTATTCCCAAGACAATGTTAACTAAACTCATTATTATAATTACATAATTAAACATGTAAATCAGTAAAATGGATGTGAAAAGAAAGCTGTGTCTATATAAAACCAAGTTTAATGCTTTGGAAAGACTTTTTAAAATAGTCTTAAGTATTGCTTCCAATTAGGTATGGAGTAGATAATTAGAAAAGACTAGATCTAGATGATCTGCACTTATTTTTGCTTTTTGCAAATCAAATTCTTTGAATTCTTGCTCTAAAGGAACAAACTCCCAAGATGATACATTTTGCATATGGTTTATGGAAGGAAAAGACTTAGATTAGAACTTCATTTAGTGAACTCATCAAAAGACCAGTGTGTTGATATATTAAGTACTGAGTCTCTATTAGAAAAGACTTCTAAAAGACAAACCATCAATCCCTACTGCATCAGAAAAGATGGCTGCTTCTGAATTCTAATTATACAAGTATATAGTCTAAGTATCATTGACATTCTCTTGGAATTTTAGAAGAAACTCATTACTCCCTATTCCTCACTTTTCCAAATCCCAACACTCACCATCAAGAACAGCTACGCCAGCTCCTCGTCTAGCCACATTCATGGGAGCGATTAAAGTCCAGGTGTTATTTTCAGGATTGTAACGTTCTACCGTGTTCAGGCAATTCCAAGACTCTGCGCCTCCAATTATGTACAAATAACCACCAAGCTCACAGACTGCAGCCTGGTGTCTACCTATAAAATCAAGTCGAACCAAATTATTTTATCTCCCAAAACTCTTAAGTCGTATACTACATATACTGTTGATTCAGAAGTTAAAATACACACACACACACACACACACAAACCCCCAAAACAAAAAACATGACACAAAAAAACTTACGAATGTTAAGAGGAGCACAGCTTGTCCACGACTTTGTTACAGGATCAAATACATCACAGTTTTTCAGTCCTTTTTGACCATATGGATCAGAGCCACCAACGATGTATAATTTCCCATTCAGAGCGCATACTCCTATGTGAGTATAAAATAAGGTTATATCTTGATAATTTAATTATCATACTTAACTACTGATTTATCCCAGAAGAAAAGTAATTTTACCTGCATTACAACGGTTAGTTCTCAATTCTGGAACAGGAGTCCAGTCATCTATGCTTGGATCATACATCTCTCCACAACTCAGGTCATCTGAGTGGCCATTCGATCCCCCTACCACATAGAGTTGGCCCTATATCAAAAGTGAGAGATTAGAATTTCTGCCATTCTGAAGTATGAGAAACAGTTAAATATGGATTGCTTCTTCCTGCAACATAATGCGCTTACCATGAGTACAGCCATTTGAAATCGAGCCCTTGGTGTTCTCATGGGAGCAAGAAAGGACCAGTGATCTGTATGTGGATCATAGCATTCAACTGTTCGAAGACACTCCTCTCTGTTATAGCCACCTGGTAAAAGGAACATCAAGATTTACGTTTATTAAACTGGACCAGGCTTTCTGGTCCAGAATGATTTAAGTAATCTGCACAAGGAGAAAAGGAATTTTTATCCATAAACTTAGTAAGGCCCCACTAGTTGATGTTTTAACTAACTGCTTACAATAGCCAAACAACATTAGCAGTATGAGTAAATTGCTTAGTCTTGGCTTGAAAATAAGGACAGAATAATTCAGCTACGTTATAGTTTAAGAATTAGAAACAGGCATTTACTTAAAGGTTAGGCAACACACTAGTATTTACTTTTTATTTCTTAGTCTTTTTAGAATGTGGTAAAGTAGAATGCCAAGGAAGAAGGCACATTAAACCCTGTCTTCCAAAGTTCACGTGTCACTAGCAAGCACAAACGTCCATTTGAGAGGCTTAGCCAGTTGAAAGTTTCCAGTAAGAGAACACTCATTGTTCTGTTCTCACCTGCTGCTATGAGCTTGCCGTTCATCTCTGCTGTCCCCAGACCAGATCGTGCATACTGCATGGGCGACATGGGCTTTTCTATTAGCTCATCTGGTTGCACCTCAAAGCTTAAACTTTTAATTAGTTTTGGAGTACTCGTTGGTGAGCTCTGTGGGCTGTTTCGCCCGTGAAGGAAAATTACACAGAATACACCATCCAGCACAGCCAGGCACAAGTAAGTGTTATCTGTAAGCACAAAAGTTCTATGTTTAAGATGCAATTATTACTACTTTTGGTTGCTGCGTGATCCTGAACTGGACTCCAGATTCCAGAGTGGAATGATCTGCTACTCTTTTCCAAATTTAGTTGCTTCTCAGTTTTTTCTCCACAAACCGTCACTTTCAAAGTTATTAAATGGTTCCACTCAACACTCCTTTAAAAATAAAAGACAATCTGACAAATGTAATACACTTACTTGAAGTCTTTTCCGAAGCAACGATTTTCCACTCATGCTTAGGGCTTTGTACTGTAGCATTTGGAGAAGAGAGACATCCAGTGGAACTGCTACTTATCATCGGCTTATGGCCATTCTCACGTGGTGGCTTTTTCTGCAAAATCAAAAGGCAGCTACAGAAACCTAGCCAAAGACCATACCTGGTGTACCTTTGTTCCTGAGCTATTCCACAACACTGAAAAAACAGTATCTTTCACCTATGTATGACGTTTATATCATAACTAAATTTAAAACAAACCAACTTTCCAATTGACACAAATTACTGGCATGCTTCCATCTCCACTTGTAAAGAAACAACTATACCTACACAAGTAGCCTGGTCAGGAAAAGCTCCATTTAAACAATTAAAAAACATGTTGTAGATCAAATATCAGATACCTCGGGGGGGAGGGGGGGAAGGACCCCCCCCAAATCTACATAAGCTCACATACTCTTTATACTAAGTGTAGAATCATCTTCCAAAAGAGCTTATTAATTTAAAAGGGTGAATTATCTGAAATAATACATTTAACCCACTGTCTCCAAGAAATGGTCAAATGTAATTAAATCATATGTACTCTGATACCCTTCATACAATGCCAGCAAAGAGTGAGCAGACATTTATCCAATCCAGTCCCTCTGAGAAGTATTTTTCAGGACAAAAGTGGCAGTTAACAAGAAACACTGAAAGGTATATTTCTTCAGGACCACCTTATAGGTGTTGTAGAGTGCTTTTCTAGACAAATCAAACTACATCAAAACACAAAAAATAGTAACCAGAAATGGAACAGTAATACTAAAAGAACCAAACATTCACAGAAGTAGAATACACAGGACCACTAAAAGAGGGAGAAATGGGCAAAGCTATAAATTTTCAAATGATTGTTAAGAGAATTACATTGTGTTCTTGTGTATGAGTTCCCTTTGATGGTTTTCTTCCAATTACTTTAGCCCTTGACACTTCTAAAGGCTATGATCACATGGAATTAGAGGAGTCAAAGACACCCTAAGAGGAACTACCAAATGAACAGGTACCATGCTGAGTCCCTAACCAAGTCTGCTTATCCACTTATTTCAGTCCCCAGGGCCAGAGACACATGGGTAGGTAAGATTTATAGTAGAAATCTGTCTCTTGTGGCAACAAAAAGCCACGTAACAACTCTTAGAGGAGAAGATTTTGGTAGCTACTTGAAGCTGTGAAAAGTCTGGTCTGTGCCATTCAACAAGCGTGGTTACAGCATATGAGACTATTTTAAGAGGCAGAGAATGCACCATGTTAATGGTTACCATTAAATTCTACTTAGACATTTGTTACATACCTAGGTATTACTAGGCACTTTATTCACAACATCTCTTTTAATCCAGTAAGGGCAGTACTGCCCTTTTATCCATTTTTTAGGTAACAATACTCAGAGAAGATATTCATTGCCTAATGCAATACAACTAAAAGAAAGATTAGAAGTTCTGAGTATAAAGCCACTCTTTTTGTACTATGACAGACTTGTGTCCTCTGCTACTAGAAATTACAAGTTACATAAAACGCCATCCCAACCTGTGGGAAGAAGGGATCCAAAGTATCACAAGTTGATGATGCTTACATTAAGAGCTTTTATCACAGTAAGAAAACTGTTCTAACATATGGACTATAATTGAGGAAAAAAAAAAAATCAACGTGAAAGAGAAAAGCATGGTAACAACGAAGACTATTTGGGTTTTTTTTTTTAACAAGTCGTACAGAAGTGCTGGTTAACTCCTTTATACTCCTTCTGGAACATATCAAACACAATCCTTTCCTCTCCTTTATCTTCAAACTTTCCTGTATCAACTCCTCCCACCCAGCCACCCACTGGCTCCACTTTCTTTGCCTCTGGCTTGCCAGGGGGTAATCTCTGGTGGCTGTTTCTTTTTCAACCACTATTACTTCTCACGCTAAGGGACTCTTGACCTTAATACTCTTTGGAACTTACACCCACTAAAGGTTACCAAGGGGCCTCCCAAAACTAATGCAGAAGACATGGTATCTATGACCTTCTTTTACATGACCTCCCGAAGAATGATTTGACACAGTTAACAATTTATTGTCCTCCTTCAAACTTTCTCTACTGATGTTAGCTAGCTTTTTAACATATTTTGATTCTAATTTCTTCCTTCCTTTCTAATGGCTTCTTCTCAAACTCTTTTCCTATTCCTCAAGCCTAATGTGTCCCCTCATCCTGTTTTACTTCATGATTTTTATCCAGGGAACCACCTTCTAATGAGTCACATGTCAGAACCCCATTTTCTCAAATTCTTCCTTTTTCCTTAACTTTCTTACTCTAAATGATTACTAAGAACTCACTCAACCTTTGAAACTATAAATGTCTAGAGTCCACTCTTCCTCCTTCAGGCCCTTGGATCAAGTCATCATTTTTTTTAACGACTACTTATAAAAGTCTGTAAATTGGTCCCACAAACTTCAATCTACCTTCTATACTTGGGTCATAAAAATTGAAGGGTTTAATGCAATCACTTACTAGAATAAGAAAAACAAAAGGAAACAAACCACAGATCAGTTGGAGTCCCATGACCTAGAGGCTGCCCATATGATAGTTAACCACTTGTCTTCAATATGACTAATGTGTGGATTTTTGCTGTACAGAAATACAGTAATTTAACCAATCCCCCTATTGTTGGACTATTGCCCAGTTTTACACTATTACTAAAGTTGTGAAATCTCTCTCTTCATATCACTCTCCTCCCTGGTCTAAAAATCTTTGAAAGTTCCCCAATACCTGCAGGATCAAATGTAAGCCCCCATCAGGTGGCATTTCCCTATTTTCTCAATCTTGTGACCAGCCATTCTAAGCCTATCATCCTTGCACAGGTATTGTTTGTTGACACACTTCCCTCTGCTATGCAAACTCATCTCAATCCTAGGACTGCTCACATGTTGCCTCCATTTCCCTAGTTTCTCTCCTGTTCCACCATGCCCTCCCCTTTATGCCTTTTGCAGATACCTCTTGTAAGACTACCACTGCACTCTACGGCTGTAAGGTCCTGCACGCAGAAACTGTCCCTCACACACCTAACATCACGGCCTGCCACTTATTGGGCCCTCAAACTTCGCTTCTTTAAAGAGTAACTTTTAAAAAAAATGTTAACATTGGGGCGCCTGGGTGGCTCAGTCGTTAAGCGTCTGCCTTCGGCTCGGGTCATGGTCCCAGGGTCCTGGGATCGAGCCCCGCATCGGGCTCCCTGCTCGGCGGGAAGCCTGCTTCTCCCTCTCCCACTCCCCCCGCTTGTGTTCCCTCTCTAGCTGTGTCTCTCTCTGTCAAATAAATAAAATCTTTAAAAAAAATAAAAATAAAAAAAATGTTAACATCTTTAGAGTTATGAGGAAAAATATTCTAAATGTTCAAAATGCACAACTATGAACAAAGTTCTCAACTCAAACCCTGACACTTTTTGTGAAAGTAAAGATCTTTGGCCACTATTGCCACAGAATACCTGAGAACTTCACCAATCAGGTTTATCATTTACTTTCTATTAAAGAAAACCATCCCTTAAAACTGGGTTAACTCAGCCTACTCTATAGTTTATCCCTCACAAATACAACGTTGAGCTGAAGGCCAAACAAAAAGAATGCATACTATATGACCACTTATGTTCACTTCAAACACAGGCAAACTAGTCTATTGTTTCAGAAGTTAGAATAATGGTTTCCCCTGGGGGATTCTGTAGGGAGGTGACTGGGAAGGGGCAAAGAAAGGCTTCCAGGATGGTAGAAATCTCTTCTTGACTCAAGTAGTTAGTTTAAATTAGTGGGTTCACTATTTGACACTTAATGATTTGTATACTTTTCTCTCAATTATTTGTCCCTAGACTAAAAAAGTTTATACCTGAGATTAAAAAAAATAATAATAAAAAAAAATAGGGTCTAACAACACTCTTCCTGTTGCAAAGTATTTTTTTGTAATCTAACCCCAAAAAATCAATTTCTACTTTGCTTCATCTTACTGGCCTTTCTACCTGTAAATCCTATTTCATTGAGAAAAAAAATCTAAATGTGTTGAATTCATTTCTTTTTATGTGGCAAAAACAGTAATTGTTAAGAAAGATAGGCTTGTTTTGTCCCAAAAATGTTTCTGTTCAGTTATACCAATGAAATTCTTCCACTTTCCTTTATTAAAGGAAAATTTCAGTATGCTATAAAATGCTCTAATCCCATTTTAACCTGCGGTTACCTCAGATGTGCAATGTGTACCTGCACAAACTGAATGTGGTCATCATCACTGCCAAACACCTCAGCCTGTCCATCTAGTAGGTTCCCATCAAGCAGCTTGTGATCAGCTGAGTAGTACAAGGTTTGAACCTGCAAAACAGCAACAGAACACCCATGTGGCTACCGTCTCCATGGCTACTCCACTAGTATGCAGATCACACAAACGCCTCAAGGTAACCTCCAGTGTGCTTCTTGAACTTCTTGACATCTTGCTCTGGCAGGATCCCGAAGTAAAGAAAATACAGGTCATGGTTGTAAAAATTTAAAAAACAAAAATCAAATACAGAATCTTCTAATACTGGCCGGAAGAGTCCTTGGCTTGATTGGCTTGAAAGAAATCTTCATTTTCTCATAGCTTCTATTATATGGCATTAAGAAAAAAAGCACTAGTACAATATATAGAGGCTCTTAAAGAATATACATATTTACAATAAAATGTGGAGTATGGCTTACACCTTTGAAGTGGTCTGATTTGCATTAACATATTTCTGTCCTGTAGGCAATGCCAAGAAAAACAGATAAAAAGCAAATGCAAAACGCAAACAAGCTGTAGAGATACCTCCCTTAGCAGATGCAAACACATGGTTAATGCACCTGATTTTCAAGTGGGAAATGATATAAAACGTAGGGAGCACCTGTTGGCCTTCCTAGAACATGATAACAGTATGTTTCAAGGCCTAACAGATCTGGTAAGCCTTTAGTGAGTGTGAAAGGCTCAAGTGGAATGACAGATGCAGGGTCACTCTACTGCTCCATCTGCATATGTTTTAATTCCCACCATTTCTCCATCAAATTTTTCTTGTGTGTTTTTAAAAAGTAGCCCAAGGTAAGTGAGTGACTATATGTATGAACAACACCATTGAAAAACACAAAGCTTTAAAGAGAATCCTGTAAAGGAGTAAACACCATTAAATCATCATCGCTCTCTGCCCACAGCGGATTTTTCTTAGGAGAACTGGGGCAGGACTGCTGCTTCTTTACGTGTCAATACACTTGAGGTTTCTTCTTGTTTCTTCAGTCTTGGGTATCCTAGTTTTGTTAATAAACCTATGGGGAGATAAATCAATGGGGAGGAACAACCATTAGAAGCTTTTACCTACTTTCAAATTTAAAGCAAAAACCTGTGAAGAAAAACTTAGAATCTACAGAAAATTTCAGTACCACCTCCCATTTCTAAAGCAAATTACATGCTACTTTAAAAGAAGTTAACAGCACATAATAAGCGAAGAAATAAAAAAAGAAAAGCAGAAGACCAAACTGAACGGTTCATTCAGCTCACCTGGACACCCCCCCAGTTTCTCAGCTTAGGGGTACCTATAGCAAAATTTAAATTCTTTAGGGTCATGGTTATAAAATAAAAGTGAGAGGGAATCCTTCATGTTATAGCAAAATAAATTTTAAGAATTGTTGAATCCCATTTACTTTAAAACTAACCTCTTCCATCAGCTCTTCCAGACTGTCTCCATTCTCCCAGATGCTACGCTGCACCCAGTTGATTACCTTTGTATACAATTTGCCATTGCTGGGCAAGCAAACATTATCTTCAAGCATTACCTCCAACTAGAGTTAGGAAAAAACAGTGACACATAGATCAGTGTTGAGTCTCTAATCCTCAGCTAAATGCTCAATTTCATAATAAAACGGTCACAGATGCCCAATCACATTCCATATATTTACTCTAATTTATAAGAAAATCAGCAGCCAAAAAATACACAAACGGGTAGGCAGAAAACTGTTACACTGCTAAAAATAATAGTATCATTTCGATGTACTGTCTTTTTCCCAACCATTACTTACATGCTTGAAACAGGGGACAAAGATTCCGTGCCTGGAACTAAGTAGTATATATCTCTTGATAGATTTTTACTCCTTACCTTTAGCCGTGGAAGTTTAAGAAACTCTTCCTCTTCTGAAATTTGTAACAAATGCTCCTGAATATAAGCATCAACCTTATTCAACAAACGGGAGTCTCCCATACAACTTGCAAAATTTCGGTAAGAGATGCAGCTGGTAACATCCATTCTAGATAGTAAATAATCACCACAAACCTTGGAAAAGAAATACACAAGCACCAACACTTACATATGTTTTATTTAACAAATATTTAATACTCAATGCGTAAGCATTATGTGAAGATATAAAGATGAATCAAAAATCACTGCCTTAATCAAACAACAATGGGAAGAACATACATATACAAACAAACATCGAAGAATGCCATTCAAATGTCTAAGTTGTTTAAGGAAAGATGCAACAAACTGAAATGCTGTGATAATGCATATGAAATGTTCAAATAAGTATTTCCAACTAGAATAATTAGGTAAGACTTCATTGTGAAGGCAGTATCTGAACTGGGATCTACATGGGAGATGATGATGAATGCAGAATAGAGGAAGCAGGGAAGAAAGATGTTGCGAACGATTTAGTTTGGCTGGAGCAAAAGACAAGACAGGTAGGAAATAATTTTGGAAAAAGAGCAACATTAGGGAAAACCTGCACTGCAAACTTGAGGAATATATGCTACAAATCATAGAAGGATGCAGAGATGTGACATTATAGGAGGGGCCAGGAAATGTCCTCTTAAGGCTAAATAGTATTTTAGGCTTTTGGACCATACTGTCTTTGTCGCAACTACTCCACTCCATCACGACAGGTGGAAAGCAGCCAGAGACCTTATGTAAATGAAAGCTGTGTTCCAATAAAACTTTATAACAGGCAGCTGGCTTACAGTTTACTGACCCCAAATTAGAGAATTAAATGTTTTTTGTTTTAAAGATTTTATTTATTTATTAGAGAGTGAGCATGCGAGCACACAAGTGGAGAGTGGCGGAGGGAGAGGGAGAAGCAGGCTCCCCACTGGGCAAGGAGCCTGATGCGGGGCTCGATCCCAGGACCCTGGGATCATGACCTGAGCCGAAGGCAGACGCTTAACCAACTGAGCCACCCAGGCACCCCAAAAATTAAATGCCTTTTATTCTATGAATTATTAAGCAGCTCTCACTGGCATTAAGGTCTAGGAGGCCTTTTTTTTTTTTTTAAGATTTTATTTATTTATTTGACAGAGAGATAGAGAGCACAGATAAGTCAGAGCGGCAGGCAGAGGGAGAGGGAGAAGCAGGCTCTCCGCTGAGCAGTGAGCCCGATGCGGGGCTCGATCCCAGGGCCCTGGGATCACGACCTGAGCTGAAGGCAGACGCCCAACTGACTGAGCCACTCAGGCGCCCCTCTAGAAGACCTTTTAAAGAGGAACTCCAGAATGAAGAACAAATGAACTGAGAGAATATAAGTTATATGATTAACTCTTGAGAAAAACAGGAGTATTTTATTTTACATCCTGCTATCAGTGACTGATACAGCTACCCGACCGAGAAGACTACTGGAAGAGCATGGGTTTAGCTCAAATTATCTGAGTGAAATATGACTTTTCTCTATAACTATAGCTAAATGGTTAATAAATGGTTAAAATAACATTCAGTTCTCTAGGGGATGGGGCCATTTTCAAGTTCTTGAAACTAAAAAATGGCTTATGACAAATTATGCATTCTAATCATGTAAAAACAGACTTGCTAGTAATAGTCCTCCTTATATATGTTAACTTCTGGTACTCTACCTGCTTTACTCGGTCCATCTTCAGCTTTTTTGCCGCAGAATAAACATCTTTTACCAATTCTTTATCGGCTTTCAACCTTTTAAAAAAAAAAGTTCTTTATCACTTAGGATACTAAGGCCTTAAAACACAAATACTTAACTGAAATAAATTTAGACAGACTTGGAATTTCCTGATGACATCCCCTAATTATACAATTTATAAAGTACTTACTGAGCAGTGTAGGCATAATTCAGTAAGACTTCAACAGCTTCTGGATTGAGATCATCAAATTTAACATGAGAAATTCCATGAGGATCACTATCACTATTAAAGATTTCAAATAAATAGGGACTGCAGCAAGCCAGGACTGCTCTGTGTGCTAACATCTCATGGCCACAGACCTGAAATTATGAGGAATTAAAATTAGAAGTACTGTGGACTATGTATAGCTAATTACCACACCGGATTCTTTAATATTTATAAGTAAATCATTGTTTTTTAAAGTTATTTCATGAAATGCCTACCATGAAAAAGAAAATAAGCAAATCTAAGAACTTACTGCTTTTAGTAATGAAATATCAATTCTGTAGGTTTCCAATTAAGTTTTAAATACCTGAAGTCGAACATCACAAAACTGGCCACTTTTCCTCAGGGCATTTAATTTGGCAACAGAAGACTCAATAAAATTTTCGTCTTCAAACATTAAATATCCATTGGGAATCATTTTTCCTTATAAATTTGGCTAAAGGGCAGAAAGAAAGCGGTGTTATTTTACTTGTGAATGAGGATTTTTATAATTATACCTTAAAGAGTAATATGGTATCTTTATTTTCAAATTCCATCCTATCAACACAAAAATGTTATTACACAAAAAACATTGCTGAAACACTGGCACTGAATGTCCAAGTCTTTGTACCCCTGTACTTTGGTCCTAAGTCTTTGAGGATTCATACAGCGGTGAGTATCTCAACGCTTTTGGTCTAGGTTTCCATGCACATTCATTGCGAAGGGTAAGAAATGTCAACCCAGCCCTGCACAAACCCAAACAAGGAGCAATCTAAGAACCCTGGAAGGATGTAAAGTGGTCATCACTTATAGGCTTCCATCTTCTGGGCTGCTGTCATTGCTTTACTCCCAAAGCAAAGATATACAAGACAAATGTAAATTCTGTTCCCTTTGCAAGGTTCAGATATTAGAAATCACTTATCTCCTAAGAATACATGCTAGAAACTTAATGTTCTTTAAAAAAAAAGCTCCATTTCACCTTTACTTGTGAACAACTGACTAATGGCTATACAAAATCTATCATTAAAAAGCAGCAATAGGAGATTTCAGTTTGAGCTGATTAAATTCAAAATAGTTTATAGAAAGAAAAAATAGAAAAATGTTTTTTCTACAAATGATTACTGACTTTCCCTTTAAGAAAATTATGAAAGGCTGTTAGTAGACCGGACAGTCTTCAGAAGAACAATGTGTCTTAATGTTGCACTGAGCCCTGAATATTCACTTACCTACTGAACTGGTGAGAAATGGATATCTGGGACGTCTTAGATAATCCAAGGACAAAGGAGTGTTAAAACTCAGCACTTCCTCAAGGTATGAAGACAGGTGGTTGTGAAGTGAAGGCAGAGGTGTCTTAAGCTCTAATGGTGATTCCAAAACTATCAGGCTTGAAATGATGTAATCAAGTCCTTAAAAGCTATAGACACGAATTTCTTCTGTGATAATCATGCATCATAATCTGTAATAATGACAAATTTTAGATACTCAGAATGATCAAAGACTGTCATTGATCTAAGTGCATTAGATCAAAGTCCTTATCTTGAAGACATCTTATTGTCAATGACAGAAGTACAGAAAATAACACAAATGCAATTATACATAAACATTTTTCATTTGACCTACAACTATTCAGGTGATTAAAACAAACAAACAAACAAACACTTTCCCTGGAAGACAGGAGCTAATAACGTGTATCATTTGAGTGAGATATACAAGCACAAGATTAGAGAACAAATACAAATATTGGTTAACTCTAATATTCTTTACTATTAGGTTACAACTAACATACAAACATAGGATCTGTCCATTTTCACCAGCCAGCAAGCAACCTTTGGGCATTATTCCCAGACATGTATACAATGTTATAGTCAAACCGGACACACTGTTCCCCAAAATGTGGTCTGCTCTTCCTAGCCTCTATACCTTTGTTCAAGTTCTTCTCTCTTCTTGGAATACCCTTAATGCAACCTCTGCCAGATGAAATCTTACCTCCATAGAGCCCCTGCCAAATCTCCCCAGTTGAGAGAAGTTTCTCCCTATCTTCCACATACTGCACACTCTCTGAAAGCCATGTGTAATCTTCCAGCTGGTCTGTTGAGTTGGGCTTCTGTGGACCTCCTTATCTTCCTTGATTCAAGGCCCTGTAAGGCAGAGCCTCTGTCTTGTTCATCTTTGTATCCATCCCATCTCCCCACTACCAAAACAACTAGCCTAGAAACTTAAATACAAAGATGAGTACTAAGAAGTGAACTAAATAAACAAAAAGGGAAAATACTGATGCCTGTTCTTTGTATGGTCCTTTTGCTTATATACAGTAATAAACTACCAACGGAATAATTCTAGTTCAGACCACATCTTCAAAGTAATCATATTCAGTCCTCCTACCTCCATTTCCCCCCTTCATTTTCACGTGTCATCAACTCCAAGTGTCAAATTCAGATGGTACTTATTTTTTAATCACCTGAACTGCTATGACACCACTGTCATTATAATTCAGGAAACGAGAACTAAATAAATTATTTGAAAGATGTACACACTTTAAAAAATGGACATCTTAAAATTACCTGGATTTTCCTGATACATCAATCAAACCCAGAATTCTAACAATTATGTTCAGGTGAATGAATAATGACTTAACCCAGAACCCACTGAAGGCTGGTCCAGCTCCAACTGAATAAACTGTTAAGTTCAACACATGCACAATCTGTAATGGAGCTGGATCCCACATGCCCTAACTGGTTTCTCTATAATTTAAATTCTATTCTATTTCAAGGACATCCTGAGTAATTGTGACTCAGGTTGGGGCTGTGGTCAATGCTTACCCTGCAACAAAACTGTATCATACTATTATGTAATACTGATTTCCTCTGCTCTAGAGTTGCATCTAGACCAGTTAGTTCAGCCTTTAAGAAATAAGTTCTGGGGCGCCTGGGTGGCTCAGTCGTCTGGCATCTGCCTTCGGCTCAGGTCCTGATCCCAGGGTCCTGGGATACAGCCCCACATCCGGCTCCCTGCTCAGCGGGGGGCCTGCTTCTCCCTCTCCCACTCCCCCTGCTTGTGTTCCCTCTCTCACTGTGTCTCTCTCTGTCAAATAAATAAATAAATCTTTAAAAAAAATTAAGTTCTAACAAATGATTTCCAAATACCACACAATTCTATGTACACAGAGAGAACACACCATCCTAAGAAAACCTTCAGGCATTTTCAGCCAAGACCCAGCTCAAATTAAGAAAATCTTTGTATATATGATACATACTTGGGTGGCCAATCCACAGACATAGTTGGTAACTCCTCACTTCAGTTTCATAAGCTGCTCTTAAAAGGGTGAAGAGGGGAGGGAGAATCCCTCCATGCAAATTAGATTGATATAATTAAAATGTGCTTTTTGAAAAACCATACCAGTTTTAATTATTATTCATTGTTTCTCTGTAAACTAGTCTTGAGCTAACCAAAAGTAAAAATGACATCTATTTATATTTGATAAATTGGAAGTTCTACTTAAATTTTTTTTTTGGGGGGGGGAGATGGTTAAAATCACTTCAGTCCTTTGGAAGAAAAACTGAAAAATTTCTGGAGCAACTCTAGGTATACAAATTTGTACAATATTATTAGTTTTGCAATAAAATGAGTTCTTCTATATTTAGAACTTGAAGATTTTTCTAGTACCTCAAGGTCTTAATATGAATCTCATCTCTTCAATGATCAGTACAACCCTACTTGATTTTAAGAGCTAGCCCAAGTCCACTTGACATTTAAGTTAATGCAACAAACTTACTTTACTCAATTACTGTCCTCATATTCTGTAGGTCCCTACTCTCAACTCCCCCCCCCCAAGTTGGAGGAGGTTATATCAACTCCTGCCTGCATAACCATGTCTTTGAAAGTTCACAGTCACTTTCACTCAAGTAAGCATTGGGCAAATTGAGTTTCAAATGATTCTAAAAATTTGTAGATCTTAGTTTGGTCTGTGAAGCTCAAACTCAGTAACTGGTGGAACAAAAATGTGGGCAGAATTTTTTTTCCTTGAAAAGCCAAACCAAAAGCCCCAACAACCTAGAGTTATACAAAAGTGTAAAACTTAAAATTTTCTTTGGTATTTAAAGAACACGAAAACATTAATCCAAAGGGATATATGCACCCCTATGTTTACTGCAGCATTATTTACAAGAGTCAAACTATGGAAGCAGCGCAAGTATCCATCCATAGATAAATGGATAAAGAAGATGTGGCATGTACACACACACACACACACACACACACACACACACAACGGGATATTACTCAGCCATAAAAAAGAATGAAATCCTGCCATTTGCAACAACATGGATGGATCTAGAGAGTATAATGCTAAGCAGAATATACCAGAGAAAGACAAATACCACATGATTTCACTCATATGTGAAATTTAAGAAACAAATGAACAAAAGAAAAAAGAGACAAACCAAAAAACAGACTCTTAACTATAGAGAACAAAGAGATGGTTACTAGAGGGGAAGTGGGTAGAGGAATGAGTGAACTAGGTGGAGGGGATTAAAAGTACACTTGTCTTAATGAGCACTGAGTAATATATGGAACTGTCAAATCACGATATTGTACACCTGAAACTAATACAATGCTGTATGTTAACTACACAGGAATTAAAATCTAAAAAAAATTTTCTTTGCTATTTAAAATATACATTTGACTAATTCACTTTAAAAATTAAAACTGGGGGGCGCCTGGGTGGCTCAGTTGGTTAAGCGACTGCCTTCGGCTCAGGTCATGATCCTGGAGTCCCGGGATCGAGTCCTGCATCGGGCTCCCTGCTTAGCAGGGAGCCTGCTTCTACCTCTGACCCTCCCCCCTCTCATGTGCTCTCTCTCTCTCATTTTCTCTGTCTCAAATAAATAAATAAAATCTTTAAAAAAAAAAAAATTGAAACTGGGGTCAAATACAATATATTCTGGTAAATACACTTCAGTTCCTTAGTATCGCCAGTGCAAGAAAATGGAGACAGAAGACTCATAAATGAGTAATTAAACTGCTTTAGTAACACCCAGAAGTTCACACGTTATGTTACCACAGGCCCCAAAAAGATTAGCTTAACTGAAATACAATTCAACAGGTCTTATCCAAGAGTTGTAAAAAAAAAAAGGTAGGCACAATATGGCCTCCCCTCCAAATTCTTCTCGGGCCTTCAGTAAGTGCAAGATAAAACGTTATCATCAAACTTTCAAAGCATCCTTAAAACCTCAAGGCAAATTACAAATATTATTTAAGTTTCAAGGCAATCTTTTGAGGGCAGCCAACTCACAAAATAGGAATGAACTCTATTTTTAAAGGACAAGTTTTATAATTATACAAAGGAAATCAATCTCTGTAAAACCAGAAGTTATACATTCCCAACGTCACCTTTCAAACTACCATCTCAAAACTCACCAAACTCATTCACTTCCTCCATCCTCATTGTTCTGAAATTCTTATGTTCCCATTTATGGCACCAAACATATGGCAGGCACAATTTGGAATGGGATGCTCCTAATACCAATGGAGTTAACTCCAATCCCCCAGCCCTGAAAACTTCACAGACCAACCAGAAAGACAGATAAATCAAGCAGTGAAAATAGTTCAAACAAAAGAGGAAAGGGGTATGACAGCATACATATTCCAGAAACTGCAGCTATTTCTGTTTCAATGCATTATAGTCTGCAGGATGCATATGGTAAATAGTGGGAGAGGAAGTAAGAAAGATCAATGTTAAGGTTTAAACAATGCTGGAGAGCAGAAAAGGATTATTAGCAAGAACATTCTAGCAGAACTGTGGGGAATGGTCTGGAGGAATAAATAAAATATGGAAGCAGAAACATTAAGATATTATATACCCTTGCTTATCCTATACTTTAGCTTGGATATGTGTGGCATCATTATCAAAATCAGTATCAAAATTAGAATTCCAAAAAGCTTAACAGTTATTTTGAGTTTGCTGCATGCTCAAAGTTAGTAAAGAAGGAAAAGAGGAATTTGCTTTGGGACATTATAATGCGGAGGTACCTGCTGGGTATTCAGGTTGATACCAGAAGTGCTGGAATACTGATCTGACAAAAAAAAAAAAAAGAATACTGATCTGATAGGTAGGAAAATACTGATAGGTTTAGAAATCACAAGGGGTAATTCAAGTTTACAAGTGAAGATAAGCATGTATTTTCTGTGCTTCTAACAAAAGCCCAGAGATCACCCCCTTGTTCATAATTCCTCCATTTACACTCTCTAAAGATAGGAGGATCTCCGACCTTTTAGAATTCCTTCATTGAGATCTTTGACTATAAAATCATATTGTTGAAAAGTCAATGAAATGATTTTCAGGAGTACTTTATCTTAGTATCAGCGATTAAGACATTTCCCTAATGAGAAAACATTTTACATTAAAAAACATTTGCAAAACTACATTCAATTGCCATCTAAAATATACCTCAACTACGAAAAAGCCCCCACTCCAAAGTAAGTAGCCCAAAAGATACCAATTTAAAACTAAAACCAAAACCTGGGATCCTCTGGGGTTTTTTGGCGGGGGGGGGGGGGTAGAAAAACGGTACAAATGAAGAGGTCAGTGGTTCTAGTCCGGTTTACCACCAACTACCAAATTATAGACATTTGATAAGCAGCCTGCCAGCTAGCATTAAATGATACTATTGTTAATCCAATTTTATTTATTTTTTAAAGATTTTATTTATTTACTTGACAGAGAGAGACACAGCGAGAGAGGGAACACAAGCAGGGGGAGCGGGAGAGGGAGAAGCAGGCTTCCCGCAGAGCAGGGAGCCCGAAGCGGGGCTCGATCCCAGGACCCTGGGCTCATGACCTGAGCTGAAGGCAGACGCTTAACGACTGAGCCACCCAGATGCCCGTTAATCCAATTTTAAATAGTGTTTGCCTTATCTCCAGATATACAACTGCTCTCCTCAGCATCGTTAAGATGGAAGTTTCAGCACGATTATGCCTAAAACTATTCATCAGTATTTTGTTATCCTTAAATCAAATGCCAGTGCTAGAATTATTAAACGAAAATATGGATTCTGGTAGTTTAGTCAATGCTGTACTTGTTCACCTGTTAAGAGTAGTACTAGGCTTCCAAAGCTGTTACTTATTACTAGACCGAAGATCACCACATAAAGTCCTTAAAGAACAGTTTGATACCAGGGTATTCTAATCCTCCATCACTGGTTAACAGACATTGGGAAACAAAACTGCGCCCTTGAAGCATATTTCTAGTTGCTCTAAGTTTTGAAACGTCAGCTGTTTCAAACAATAGCTCTGTCTACTATGTATTGAGCAACAATCTATTTCTAAAATATTTGTGGTCCAAGTCTTCTTACATTCAACTCTCAATGCGGTATTGCCTGATACTTTGTACCATCAAGAACTTACAACCAAACACCGTTTTGCAAGATGCGTTTAAGAATGGAAAAAGAGCAAACCTCTCCGCCGATTTCTTTTGTAAAAAGGAAAGTGGCGATCGCCCCAGAGTGACTGAGGAGCCCCGTAGCCCCAGGCCTTCCTCCCCGCGCGGCCGGGAGGGCGCCCACTCCCAAGGCTGGAAGGCAAGGGGCCCAGCGCCCGCACACCCCCGGCTGGGATTGGCCGGCCACGCAGTCATTCAGCGCCGACACGTCAGGGCAGCTGCTCCCTCCCTCCTCCCGCCCCCTTCTCCCCGCGCTTGGCAAGAAAAGCGGGCAACGTGGAGCGGGAACAAAGGACCCCGCGGCCCACGGCGATCCGGGACGCGGTGCCACCCCACTCCGGGCCCGAAGCACCGATGCAGCCTGGGGCCGGCTCCCCGCCCACACGCGCCGGGTCCTGGGAGGTCCCAGGGAGGAGAGTCCAGACCTCGGTTAGACCCAGACACTAGGAGTCGGTTCCTGACAGCGGGAAAGGAGATTCCCGCGTCCTCCTTCCGGCAGTCATCCTTGCCCCGTGGCGCCCTGACCCAGGCCCCCGAGGATCCCACGGGCAAAAACTCCCGCCCTACTTCCTCTGCCCCAGCTCTCTCTGAGGCGGCCGGCACCCGCCTCGGCCGCCAACGCGACCCGGCAACCATGGCAGCGCCAGGAGCGTCCTTCCCCGGGACCAGAACGCTGCTCCGCGCCTCGCACCGTCTCCCCAGCCGCCCGCGCCATCCCTCTGCTCGGACTCCGGGCGCCCTCTTCCTCCTCCACCGTCTAGGTCCTGCGCGTATTACCTGGTTCATCTCTGAAGAGATGGAAAAACTCATGTCTGGAGCTTCGACGGGGAGCAGGAGGAAGCGGGCGGGAATCGGCCCAACGGAAAGCGCCTCGAGGCCGCGGAGGGGGGGAGCGGTCGAGCGGGAAGACGAGCGGTCAGTCCGCGGAGGCTGCGAGGAGGGGGCCGCGCCACCGAGGGTTCGCGGGAACTCGCTCGCTCGCTAGCACTGCCGGGCCGAAGCAGCAGGCGGAGAAACTGTGCCGAGCAGCTCGGAGCTCCCGACCTCCACGCGCGTCCGGGAGACACTGCCGCCGCCGCCGCCGCCCGCTCGCGCTGCACCCCCTCGCACGTCACCACGTGCGCCGCCGCCGTCGCCGCCGCCGCCGCCGCCACCGCCACCAGTGCCTCCCGGCAGCTTCCGGCCCGAATCCGTCGGCGAATCACAAGCGAGCACGAGAAAGCTCCCGCTCGCGGCCCCGCCCACCGCTCGCCCAGACTCTCCTTCGCCCCATTGGGTTCCTTCCTGCTCGGCTCAACTAGGTCAAGGCAAGGTGATCCCAGGGAGAGAGGCAGTGTTTAGGGCGCGCCCCCTTTTATTTATCGCGTGGTCGTCTCCTTCCCTAGCCTCGCACCCTCGCTTCGCCCTCTCGGACTGTGCCGGAACTGGTTTCCTCCAGCCGCCCTCACCTGTTTTGCCTCCCCCTAGAGGCACAATAACCGGAGATCAGACGTGGGAGATTAGATTTCTCGACGTCAAATTTACATCTAGGCAACTGCCCTAGACTGGAGCTGGCCGCCGCGGACCTTAGAGCCTGCAGTTGGCCGTGGGCCCTCACCTTTGTTGAAGGGTGCGGGGAGGGGGTGTGAGCGTTGTGAGTGAGAAGAGAGGCACGCTGGGGGAAGGGGTGAAAGTATTCAGTAACTGAAAAAATCATTGGCGAGGTCAGAGAAGGCCTTCTATTAGTGTTGCTATAAAAACCTGTTTACTTCTCCTTTTGGTCCCCCGGATTTCTGTTTTGTCTGAGCGCGGCTCTCCTTTCGGAGACAGTCCTTTCTTTGCTGGTCTTGCCCTCTTTGGGAAAAAGAAAAAAGCCTGGAGAATCAGCAGTCCCTATCCTAACCTTCTGGGGCCTCTTAGACCACATGCCAAACTTAGTTATCCACCCTGCCTCTTTGCCCCAAGAGGCAAACCTGTTCCGGGGACACACGAGGTATATTGGGCTCTGACGGCAACTTCATGTGACTGAAGGGCATGCTGGAAAGTTTCCTAGATTAAAGGTGAGGGGATTTGCCGAGGTAAAGTTTAGAGTTTGGCAGAGGCTTCCAGGCTAACGTCCTGTTCGATTATCCTGATTTGGGGAGGGCACTTACAAGCGGTCTAGGCCCAACCTTGTTTGTATTTGACCACTCAAGTTAGTTTATAGACATTTCTAGGAGCCTACCGATCTTTATCATGAACTATTTATGCTTATGGGAGCGGGAAAAGATGAATGTTGGGGCCCTTCATCTGCAATAGAAGCTTTACAACTTTTCTTTCTAAAATCTTGAGGCAAAGAGGCTTGTTTTTTCACCCCTGTTCAGTTGTGGGAGGAAACAGGAACTAAGATATCTATTAGTATGACTGTTCTATCTTGAGGAGAAAAAGACTGACATTTGCCACTGGGCTCTTGTTTTTGTCTTCTGATAATTAATAACGATAGCAGTGTTCACTTTTATTGCAAATGAAGCTATTAGAGTACATGCCTCTTAAGTTTTTTTTTTAATATCATGGGCTTCATTCTTTCAGTGAGAGAGTATGAATTGCCTACTTTGGAGAGGCACATGACTGTGTGGCCTGCTGGACACATGGTCCCTCTTGCTGTACTCTAAATAGTGCCTTTGTGACCTGAAACAGTCAACACTTTTCTTAAAGCTACAGTGTGATCAGTCCATGCATTTTTGCCTTGTATGGAATTTCACATTTACATATTACCTTTTCTATAGATAATGGCATAATTAATTAATTCCATTTGTCTTCTAGTCAACTCCAGACTCAAGCATAGCTATTCAAGTGCTATATAATCCAGATGAAAACTTGAAAATGGAACACTGGCAATTTTAACCTTATAAGTCACAAATTATAAGATGTTATTCTTAATATTTAACTTAGACAAGATATATGTGGAGAGTGCTTAATAAAAATAAAAACTATCAACTTCTATTTTAAGTTAGGCACTGAGAAAGGTAAATCGGGAATTGGGGCCCATCTGTAATCTTTCCATTTTTCTCTCTGATCCTGCTTCAAATGTTCCAGTGCTAAACTCCGACTTGTGTTTTATTCTTTATTTATTAGCTTGCTACGGCTTCTCTAACAAAGTACCACAAACTGGGTGGCTTAAACAACAGAAATTTATTGTCTCACAGTTCTGGAGGCTAGAAGTATTAGGTCAAGGTGTCTGCAGGGCCATGCTCCTGCCATGGAAGCTAGGGAAGAATCTGTTCCAGCCCTTTCTCCTGGCTGCTGGTAGTTCTTTGGCTTGCATGTCATTTTCCCTGTGTGCCCATCTCTTGGGTCCAAATTTTTGCTTTTTATAAGGATGCCAGTCATATTGGGTTAGGGGCCCATTCTAACCAAGTATGACCTCATCTTAACTAAATCTCAATGACTATTTCCAAATAGGATCACATTTTGAGGTATTGAAGGTTAGAACTCTAACATATGAATTTTGGAGGGGACATAATTCAACACATTAGTTCAGTGTTTCTCAAGTTTAGTCCACTGACCAAAACCACTTGGAAATTCTTATTAGAAATGCAGTCCATAAGCTTCACCCTAACAAGTGATTCCCAAAGGAGGAGAGTGATTTGTGCCCCCAGGGGACATTTAGCAACATCTGAAAACAGGCCCAGGGGAAGGATGCTATGGTATCTAGTGGACCTGGAATGCTGCTCAACCATTTGCAAGGCACAGGGTGTCCCCACAGCAAGAAAATCATCTCTTAATGTGTTAATAGTGCCAAGATTGAGAAACCCTCCTGTAGAACTTCTAGATCAGAATCTCTGGGAAAGGGACCTGGAAATCTACATTTTGATAAGCATCCCAACAGCTTGTGCCCATACTAAAGTTTGAAAACCACCACAGATACAAAAGCCTTTTTTAGGCGTATGAACATGAACCATTTTGTTCTAGATATTAGTCACCCCTCTTCTTGTTTAGCCATGTGAACTGTGATAAGTGAATCTAAGTAAATATTACTACTTAGCAATTCACACAATTTACAAGTCTCACCCTAATATTAATCTTAAACTGGAAACTTGTTTACATTTTAATACTTTTATGCCATGTTGCATTGTTTTTGATCGGCTGTCTACATATTCTGGATGTCCTTTGCCAAATGAAAAAAACCATTGCAAATTTATGGTTTGGCAAGGCAATGCTTTGCCTCCTCCGGTCCACTAATTTCTGTTGTACTCTTGAGTGACTGACTGACTTGTCTATTTCATATATTGCTCTCATCCCTTGCAGTCTATGTTTGCTGTTCCTTCCATTTTTTTTCTCTATTGGCATTTGAAAATATTTTTGTGGTGCATTAGTGGTGCCTTAACAGCACAAACAAGAAAATGGTAGTGTCATAAAAGACACAAGAGGGGCGCCTGGGTGGCTCAGTCATTAAGCGACTGCCTTCGGCTCAGGTCATGATCCTGGAGTCCTGGGATCGAGTCCCACATCGGGCTCCCTGCTCGGTGGGGAGTCTGCTTCTCCCTCTGACCCTCC